GTGACAAGGAGAGAGCTTTGCAACAGGGTCATTGTCTGTCCACAGGCTGGTGTTTAATAAAGCCCCCTGGGGCCTCTCCAGGTGGAGCTGGATTACTGGGGGTGGTGTGGCTGTGCCCAGTCTCCTGGCTGTGCCCGTGACAAGTGCATGTTCTTTGCCTTGGAAATTGTGACCTGGTCTGAATGGAAGCTGTTGTTTGTGCAATTTACATTCCCTTTCTGTTGCTCTTCTAGGCTTCTAGTCCCCCTGCAGTGTCATACGAGGCAGAGAAAGGCTCCCTCTGGACTTTGTTGCTGACAAATCCAGGTGAGTAGTGGGTTCTTTAAAAAAAACATCTTTAAACTGGGTTGTTTCACTCTGCTTTTGGTCAGCTCCTGTTCGTTGTGGCTGCACGAGCTGAGATGATGTGATATCTGGCAAGTAGGGACATTTTACATATGCAGGAGAGATTGTAGCCTTCCCAAATTTCTGGCAGTTAAGGGATGGGACAGTGATACAACAGGACCTGTGTTGGAGTGTAGAGGGAAGAATTCCCTGACTCTCATTTTTGGTTTACCCCCAAAGCCCTGTCTCCCTCGGCAGTCTGCCTGGGCGGTAGATTAGCTGACACTGTTTGCTCTGAGAAAGCAAGGCACGGTGACGTAAAGCAGCTGAGCAAGAATTCGTTTTAATCTTGGAATTCCATCTGTAGAGTTCTTTGCTCCTTCTTTTAAGCTCAATCCTACAAGGTTGAGTTACTTTTCTGGTAGGAGAGGAATGCTGGAGCTGCCCCCTCCATTCAGAGCCGATCCGGGCATTCTCACTTTGGGGTTGATGCAAACATCAATGTGTCCCTAAGTCACCTTTCCCTGTTGTGTGCGTTTACAGATGGACATTTAAGAGATGCGGACTCGGAGTACCTGCACTGGCTGGTGTGAGTACGGCACCTCGCAGCCATGCGCTGCTCAGCTCAGGGCAATCCCAGGCAGAGCGGGCGGAAACTCCTCCAGCTCGGGAAGGAGCCTCGGCTGCAGCGGTTCCGTGGCCCTCTCTGGTGCCATTGGCTTCTTTCCCCCTGGGTCCTGCTAAAGATGCCGTAGTTCCAGGCATTGCTGCTGTTTGGCACTCAAGTCACTGGGGGTAATTTTTCTTCCAGTGAAAACAGCCTCTGTTAACTGTTTGTCAAACAGGGCGTAAGTCATGTCAGAACATAGCAGAGACTGATTGGCAATGCTGGGTGAATCTGGTGGTCCTAATGGAGGGAAATGGGTGGGTATATAGTGAAGTAAACTTGTTTGTGTTCAGGACGAACATCCCAGGCAACGACATCAAGTCGGGTAAGGAGATGTGCCATTACTTGCCCCCCTTCCCTGCCAGGGGAACTGGCTACCATCGCTTCATCTTCCTCCTCTTCAAGCAAGAGTGCCCCATAGATTTCAGCGATGATGTTCGGCCGACGCCGTGGTAACTCAGGCTTTCTCTGGGCGGTTCCATACTCTCTTGGCTTGGCTGTTATTGCTCGTGATGATCCCATGTTTGTTACTGCTGTAGGAGAGCAGTTCCTTTTCATCTGCAGGGTTGTTTGAGGCTGCTTTTGAGTTTGCGTGTCACCTGAGGCATTTGAATTACTCAAGCATATCCAAAGAAGGGTAACAAATCTGGTGCAGGGTCTGGAGCACGGGTCTGATGGAGAGCAGCAGAGGGAGCTGGGGGGGTTTAGTCTGGAGGAGGCTGAGGGGAGACCTCATTGTCCTCTACAACTCCCTGACAGGAGGGTGCAGAGAGGGGGGATGAGTCTCTTGACCCAAGAAACAAGCACCAGGACAAGAGGGAATGGCCTCAAGCTGCCCAGGGCAGAGTCAGGCTGGCTCTGAGGAAGGATTTCTTTGCAGAAGGGGCTGTTGGGCGTTGGAATGGGCTGCCCAGGGCAGGGGGGGAGTCCCCATCCCTGGAGGGGTTGAAGAATCTGGTTGACCCAGCACTGAGGGATCTGGTGAAGTTGAGAATGGTCAGTGTGAGGTTCATGGTTGGACTAGAGGATCTTCAAGGTCTTTTCCAACTGAGATAGTTCTGTGATTGTACGAGGTTGCAGCCCTGCAAGCGATGCAGAACGCTGTCGCTTTGTCATGGGCTGTTGAGAAAGAGCTTTGCCCTGCCTGAGGCAGAAATGTGCACAGAGCTGGGAGGTTTTGTTTTCGTGACTTCCTTTTCCACCTCTGTTTTCTAGCCTCTGGGGTGATGTGGGGAAGTAGCTGCCTACCAGGGTGCTGTGGGAACATGCCACCTCAGCTCTTGTGCTTTTTTCCAGCCACAGCCTGAAGATGCGTACCTTCAGCACTTTTGACTGGTACAGGAAGCACGAGGATGCAATGACCCCGGCAGGGCTGGCGTTTTTCCAGTGTCAGTGGGACAGCTCTGTTACTCAGGTCTTCCATCAGCTTTTTGGTAAGAAATGCAGTGTGTGGGGCTGTGTGAGGGGGCCTGTTTGTGGGCTGGGACACAGCCCCTGCGTGTGACATGGAGGGTCAGTGGGTGAGCTGTGCCTGTAGGCTCTTGCTGGGGCCTGGCCCCTTATCTAGGAGCTGTTACAGCTCAGGCTGGGTACAGAGCGAGCCCTCATCTGCCAGCCTCACAGCAGTCTGAGGAAGCAACCTGTAAAGGGCCATTTTGAAGGAGCATTTTACCATAACCAGGAAAGAGCCTTCAGCGGGGAGCACTGGGGCAGCCCTGGTCCTGTGTGCGCGCCAGGGCCCTTCCTTGCTGAGGTGGAGGGTCGGGGTCTGGATCTGGGCCTTCTTGCTAACAGCATCGCCGCTTTGCAGATATGAGAGAGCCTGTGTTTGAATTGGTGCGGCCGCCCGTTTACCATCCTCCACAGTTAAAGTTCCCGCGCCAGCAGCCTCTGAGGTACCTGGACCGATACCGAGACACAGAGGAGCCCACCTACGGCATTTACTAGGGACCCGGCCTCCTCTCTCGGCTCTTGGCAGAGGGGGCTGCTGCCTTCCCTGCGCTCCCTCAGCGGTGCAGCTGGGAGCCGCCGCCGCCTCTGGAGGGAGACCACAGTCTCAGCCCGTCAGCTCCCAATTCCCCTGCGCTGGCAGTGCTGGGAGGTATGCGGCTGAAGGCAACAGGCATTTGTAGTGCTGGCAGCTGCATGGTCAGAAGGTTACTTAAAGAGGATGCTCCTAGATGAAAGCAAATCCGTGGCCAGGTTGAAATCTTGCTCCTGATTCTGTAGCAGAGCTGATCAGTAGGGGTGGCAGGGTAGAGTCTCCCTCAAGATGCCCTGCCTTGCTCCTCTGCACAGATCACCCTTTTCTCTGTGGAACAGAGCCAGACCAGCCTGGATTTCCTCCTCTTCCAGCATTGCAGCTCATGACCATGTCTGCTTTCATTTGTGCAGTTCTCATCTGATTAAACACACTCTGAGCAATGCTGGCAGCACTGTCTTTGTTGGGAAGAGCTTGGTATCCCAGCCGGCTGGCGCAGCACTGGGGACCTCAGCAGAGAGCAGGGGAGGAGGGCAGCCCTTCCCCTTCCCTCTTGGCTCTTGGAGGGCGGGAAGAGTGTGGCTGCGCAGGTGATAAACCTGCACGAGGTCAGCGTTTGTGGAGCTGGCTTCTGCCAACAGCTGCCCCAGTGTGTGGACCTCAGGCTCCTTCCCCTCGCTCCCTGTATGCCGGTGGAGCAGAAGCAGAGCTGCAGAGGTGCTGGGCTTGAGCAGATGCATAGTGCTGGTCTGGCACTGCTGGGCCTGTCCCCAGGCTGGGGAGAGACTGCCTTCTGCTGTGCTCAGCAGGGCTCTCTGCACATCCCCCCTTCCCAGCTTGAAACCCCCTAACACCAACATGCTCTCACTGTTGCAGCTCCCTGTTCCCAGTCCCTTTTTCTAAGGTTTGCCCCTTCCTTGGGAAATAAGGGCCTCCGGAAAACAACTGAGAATGTGCTGAAATACCTCCCCCCTGCACCTGCTCAGGGCCCTTCTCAGCTACACCTGAGCTCCCTGAACTCTCATCCCGCCCTGAAAGGTTCTGGTGTCTGATTTAAGCCGGGGCGAGCTAGCTGGTGAGGTGACCACAGCAGTGTGAGGGATGACTTGGAACTCCCCAAAAAGATGCCTGTGAGGACAAACAGCCTGAGAGAGAAAGGATGGGGGGAGTGGAGCCCCCTGAGCTGGGGAATGTCTCAAGCACTCTGAGTAGTGGAACTCTGGTCAGGGGGTGCAGAGTGGAGCTGATGAGGCTGCCTGGGCAGCACTGGGTGGGCTGGAGGAAGGAGCCCTGTGGAGACAGGACGGTTCTGCTCTGGGGCATCTTGTAAAGTTTCAAGGGCATCGATCCAGTGAAGGACCTTTCCTTCATTATCCATGAAAGACAAAGTTGACACCCTGAGTATGCTAATAAAGATTAGCAAGATCATGCTAGTTACATCATCCCATGAAGCACCTTACCCCTCCCCATACATGGGATACGTAGGAATGTGCGTTGGCCTAGGGGAGGGACCCAAGGAAAGTGTATAAACAGGGTGGGGGGCAAGGAGGGGAGGGTGTCAGAATGAAGAAGTGAAGGAGACAGATGCCTCCCTGACGGATGGGACCAATGCAGGAACCCAGGCATATGCAGAGAGCAGAAGCTGTCGTTCAAAAGGGAAAGATGCAGGAGAGGGATGTGGCCCTGCCTGGCCGGTGGCATGTGTCACAGCCTTGTCGCGGCAGAGGGAGGTGACGTGTGGGTGCAGCAGCGGTGGGTGCCCCTCCCTGCTGGTTCCCAGGCTGGCAGATGGCGGGAGCACTGTGCTGAGGTCTGTGCCACGCTCTGCTCGGGGACCCAGCCCTGGCAGAGGGGAGGCCGCCAGGAAGTTCTCTCAAAGGGTGAGAAAGGAGTGAAATCAAATCCGAGATGGTGGGTGTCCCCGTGCAAACACACTCCCGGGAAGTGCAAACACACTCCCGGGAACAGACGCTGCTCCGAGCCCCATCAGCGTCTCGCGTGTGTCTCCCTGCGGCGCCGCTGCCCCGTTTCCTCCTCTCCAGGCTCTCCTGTCGTGCTGCGCAGCCCTCCCGGTGCTGGGGGAGCGGCTCCAGCCCTCAGCCCGTGGCACAGCCAGCGTGGCTGAGGGGGCACCCCGGGTGTCTCTTTAAGAGCACGCCTGGCTCGCAGCCCTGACCCGCCCTGGGCTCAGCGTCACCATCTCCTCCTCCTCTACACAGCTGAGTTTCTATTTCCCCGGCTTCTTTCACTGGTTTCTTTCCCCGTCGCCCTGATCCAAACCACAGGCAGGATGGCATCGCCCATCTCGCAGAAGCTGGAGGAGAAGCTGGTGTGCTCCATCTGCCTGGAGCTGTTCAGAGCGCCCGTGACCTTGCCCTGCGGGCACAACTTCTGCAAGCGCTGCATCAGCGACCACTGGCACAAGCAAGAGCAGGAGCCTCCCGGGGCCAAGAAGGGGTACACATGCCCCGAGTGCCGCAGGGCCTTCGAGCAGCGCCCGGAGCTGGAGAAGAATGTCACCCTGTACAGCGTGGTGGAGCTGGCGCGGGATGGCGAGGCGTGGGGCTCGGGCACAGAGGGATCTGAGGTGGCCCACGGCGAGCTGTGCCCACAGCACGGGCGCCCACTGGAGCTGTACTGCGAGGATGAGCAGCGGGGCATCTGCTGTGTCTGCACCATCCGGCACTGCCAGCAGCACCGACGGGTGCTCTTCGAGGAGGAGCGCTTTAAAAAGCAGGTGGGGACAATAGGTGGCAGGACTGGGGTGATGGCAGGGGGTGGTGAGCAAGGGGGAGTCACAGCAGCTCAGGCACAGCACGACATCCCCCTCCACTGGCCCGTGTCCTGCTGTGGGCGTGTGATGTGCCTCTGTGTGCCGAGCTGTGCCTGGCCTCCGCTGAACATGGGCTCTGGCCAGGGACATGCCACCAGTGCTTGGCTGCTCCCCGAGAAACCAGGGGCTATCAGGAGCAGCAGAGAGCTGGGTAAATCCAGCAGCACTGGATAAATGGTGCCATGTGTGTTTGTGATCCCCAATCTAAAGGAAACAGATGAAAAAGTGGTGAAAGCCAGAACAAGATTTCACTTTTAAGCGACCCTGGATGCAGCCTCTCCTCTTCCCAAGCATTCTTCTTCCCCTGCAAACCTTGTCCTGCAGCCCCGAATGAGCTCCCGGGGGCCAGGCGGGCAGCAGCGTGCTGCACCACAGGACATTGGTGACTCCCTTTACAGGCTCTTTTGAAAGAGTCCCTGGAAAAAGCCCAGGAAGAATCAGAGAGGATTGAACGGGTGATGCAGGAGCTGGAGGAGCAAACATGCAGCATCAAGGTAACACTGTGGCCATCTCTGTGGGGGGCGTGTGGGTGTGAGGGTGCTGGCTCTCACAGCTCTTCCCTGCCCAGGACTCCTCCGAGGGGCTCAAATCGGTAATTATGAGCAAATTTGCCCTCCTGAGGAAAGCCCTGGAGGATTTCCAGTGGCAGATGGTGTCCAGGATCGAGCAAGAGCAGGCAGCAGCGCTGGGGCGTGTGGAGGAGGACTGGAACTTCCTGAAGGACCGTCTGGATGTCCTTGGCCAGCACAGGGAGAGGGCTCAGGGCCTGCTGGCCTGCCCCAACCACAGGACCTTCCTCCAGGTACCATGCCAGCGCTGTGTCCCTCCCTGCGCCCTTTCGGGGAGGGCAGAGATGTGGTCGACCCCTTCCCCTTGGGGGATGTATCCTCAGCCCAGCTTAGGGTTGGGATGGGGCTGTGGGGAAGTGCTGCTTTTGGGGGGGGGGCCCGTGAAAAATTGAAGGGAGTGATGCTGGATGGGAGCGGATGGTGCTGCCCTCAGGGCCATGGGCAACATCTCCCACCCCCAAACCACTCAGCAAAGCTCTTCTACTGCCAGCAAGACACAAAGTCCTGTGCTGCAGCCCCTCTGCTCCCTGCAGCCTCTCACTCCCGCTGTGACTGTCCCCTGACTCCGAGCACCAGCCACAGCTAATGGCAGATGTTTGGGGATGCCCCATCACCCACTGGGGAGACATAGTGTGTGCGGGTGGGGTTCGGAGCTGCGGATCCTCCCCGGGCTGGTGCATGGGTGTCTCTTCATCTGTTCACAGGAGTTCCCCCTGCTCCCACCTCTGGAGAGCCCAGAGGCGCTGCTGCCCGTGGAGTTTGATGTAGCTGCTGTGGTCAAGCCCATCGAAGAGATCCTCACCAACATCTCCAGGCTCCTGCTGGAGGACCTGCCCAGCTCCATGGCCCCCAAAGCCCCCGACCCCGCTGGCCAAGGTAACCCTTCTGCTCACAGGGTCATCCTGAAGGGCTCCAAGTCATCCTGAACCACAGCCTGGCCCATGTCACCGTGCTGGGGATGTGGCTGCTGGGCACAAGGGTTTGGGATGGGGACACGCATCTACTGTTCAGCACGTGGCTATCAATGGGGCGCGATGGGCTGGGTGGCTTCCCTGTGGCCTCCTCCTTGCTGGTAATGCCAAGCACAGTGGCATGTGCCCACTCCCAGGCTTGGATGTGATAGACTTCCTCCTTCCCCTGCTTCTCCCATCAAAGCTGGGAAGGAAAAAGTTTTTGGGTGGCATCCCTCAAAATGCCTGTCCCCATCCTCCACAGGCCCAGTGCATCCCCAGGAGCTGGCGGTGAAGGTGGTGGCTCCTGTCCCCAAGTGCCAGCTCCGAGCTGAGCTTCTGAAGGGTGAGAAGCATGTGCGGGTCTGGAGGGGCAGCACCCCGCTGGGGTCCCCAGCAGGATCTGGCAACCAAGCCAGGTTTTTCCCTGGGAGAAGGGTGGTCATGGCTTTGGGGACAAGGGCTCCTTCCCTCACTCTCCCAATCCCTCTCCCTAAATGCAGAGAAGGGTGCTGCAGGGCCAGGGGTTGGGGGATGCTGTGTGGCTGGGAAAGGGCTCCTTAGGTGCATTAGCAGCACCAGAATCACAGAACTATCTCAGTTGGAAAAGACCTTGAAGCTCCTCCAGTCCAACCTTTAACCTCACTCTGACCGTTCCCAACTCCACCAGATCCCTCAGTGCTGGGTCAGCCCGACTCTTCCACCCCTCCAGGGATGGGGACTCCCCCCCTGCCCTGGGCAGCCCATTCCAATGCCTAAACGAGATGAACAAGGAACACTTTCCTGTGGAAACTGGGGCTGCCAGTGCCTGGCATTGGGTCAGCCACTGTCCCAGATCTTGCCCTGTCTCCATTCTCTCCTTTTCATCCACCTCAGGCATCTTGCTTGAGCAGGAATGATGTGCCTGTTCCCAGCAGCTCGTGTTTAGACACAGAGCTTCCCCACAGGCAGGCAGGCAGCATCAGCAGCTGGCAAGTGCTCACCCACAGGGACGTGTCGTGGGCTGCCCCAGGCACCCCACATGGCACAGCACCAGTCCAGAGCCCTGCCTACAGTCATTGCTCTCTGTCCAGGGATGTGGCCTCAGCACTCCCAGCCGCAGTCCTTCATGTCCCCTTCCCTCCCTGGGCCCATTCCACTCCAGTTCCTCAGCAATTTCCTCAGTGCTCCTTTTCCCATCTCCTCCCTGTTAGGAAGAGGGTTGGATAATGTTTAGGGCATGTTGGTCATGTCACTCTTGCCAGAGAGGTGATTGATGACTAGAGAACCTGTGAGGATTCCTTCCATCAGGCCCCACAAAACATTCTCAGGGATATTAATAGGAAAAAGCCATTATTTATGGGCAGCAGGCATGAGCCCAGCGTAGCTGGCCAGGCTGGGTTGTTGAAGGAGGGTGAGGTGCTGGTGGCCTGCAACTGCCCGTGGCAAGAGGATTTATCGCAGCCTGTGCAGAATAGAGTAATGCCCCACAATACCATGTTTGCTCACTTACTGCCTGTTTTCCTCCTGCCTCTTCCCACCCATGCTCATATTTTTTGCTCTTAAAACCAAGCACAACCATTCCAAAATGACCACAGAGCCACTGCTGCTTGCTGGTTTTGAGCTGGGCTGTGCAAGGAGAGGGTGAAACGTCACATCTCGGTGCCTCACCAGCTACTTCTGGGCTCTTTCCATTCCTTGTGGCAGGCAGGTGGGCAGGTATCGCATCTTCCCCTCCAAATGTGCTACAGCTTGTTCCCTTCTGTTTTGGGAGCCAGCCCTATGCAGTTTAAGCCGTACCACCGTTGTGGGGGCTCACATGAAGGGCATAAAGCTCTGATGAATTTCAGCCCTGTCCATGCTGTTTCTTTTCTCAGACCACCGCAACCTGACCTTCAATCCCAAGACGGCCAACAAGTACCTGGAGCTGTCGAAAGGGAACCGGAAAGCCAAACACGGCCCCAGTGCCATCTGCGGATGGCAGGAGCAGGGACCCCGCTTCGAACCCTGGCAGGTGATGTGCACACAGGGCTACGGCCATGGCCACCACTACTGGGAGGTGAAGATCTCCAGCCACTCTGTCATCCTAGGAGTGACCTACCATGGTCTCCCCTGGGAGCGGCAGCAGGGCCACAAGTTCAACATCGGCCTGGATGGGGGGTCCTGGGGGCTGCAGGTGCGGGAGGATTGCTACCTGGCCTGGCACAAGGGCCAGGCAAAGAAAATCCAGGAGCAGCTATATAAGAACCTGGGGGTCAGCCTGGACTATGGTAAGGGGCTCCTCTCCTTCTACGGCCTCGGGGAGAGGATACAGCTCATCCACTCTTTCCACAGTGTCTTCACCCAGCCCCTCTTTCCCGTCTTCTGGCTGTGCGAGGGGCGAGCAATGACGCTGTGCCGGAGGGACTGAGCTGGAGCCATGGTGCTGCTCCCTTAGCCGGGCTGGCAAGCCCCAGGCTGGTGCCGCAGCCAAGCTGCAGCCAGGGGCTGTTGCGGTGTGAATGGGACCCGGATGCTGAGGCAGGAGTGGGGTACGTGTTTTAACAAGGGCTGATGAGGACAGACATGCAAATTAACCCACTCTGATTTGCATATGCAAATATCACACTGATGATACAAGTTAGGGCAGGGGAGAGGATGCAGGGCTGTGCCCTCGCCGTGGGGATGAAGCCCGTGGTTGCTGTGTGGGGGCACATGTGGGTGTCTGTCCCTGCAGAGGGGGCGAGGGGGGGGTAGGGAGGGTGCAAGAATAGGTTTCTCACTCCTGTCCTGGCCAAACCTGCTAAGCCTGGGGGGGATTTGAGGTGAGGAGGACCCCAGAGGGGGGTGCTGTAGCCACTGGGTGCTGTGGAGCAACATGGAGGGAGCCCTGTGCTCCCCCAGCTGCACACACAGGCTCCCCCAGCCCCTCACAGTTCCCTCTTGCCACTCTCGGACATGGCAGAGCACCTATCTGAGGTGCCACCCTGCAGCTGCTCTTTGTACAAAGTTGCTTTCCCCAATAAAGCTCTATTTTCCTAAGGGGTTCACCTCAGCGTTGGTGGGAGCTGTGGGAACAAGCAGCACTGAGGGGGTGAGCTGGGTGCCCCTGCTCCCGCACCCATCCCTGCAGGGCCCCGTCCTGCCCCTCCGTGTCCTCGCAGGGACCAGTGCCATGGAGCAGAATTAGAAGGTGCTTAATTTATAGTAGCACTGCAGTAAGGAAATCTGGTTTCCTATGGCTCTGCCCCAAGGTTGATCTAGCGCAGAAGAAAACCTGAAGCTTTGATTGAAGCTCTTCCAAGGGTGGGACGGCAGGTCCGGCATCTCCCCCTGCCCCTGCAGGGATGGTGAGGGCTAATGGGGTGAAACTGGGCACCAGTTTCAAAGGTGCTGGGGACGTGCAGGTGAATGTGTGGGGAGTGAATCACATGAGCTTGTTTCCTTTGGGGAAAAATGGCTTAAAAGGATCAATCCCCTTCACAGACAGATGCGATTTGTCTTGCTGTGCTTCCTCCTTCACTCTGCGCCTCCCCACTCCTGGCCCTGTCCTTGGGTGGGACCTTGGGCCGGCATGGACCTGGGAACTTATCCAAGCCAAAAAACTGTCTGTGCACAGGAGGTGTCCGGAGATCCTATGTTTACCAGACAGATTCTCATACCGAAAGCACTCTGGTGTCTCCCCGTCCCTGCCTGGTGCCTTACTGGCTCCGGAGGAAGAGGGGACAGGGTTCGAGCCAGGACCTGGGCACTGTGGCCCCTTTTCGGCCATGGGAACGGCTGACATGGATCCATGGGCACAAGGGCTGGCAGGAAAGCACCCGCACCTCTGTACTTGGGGGGGCTCAGGCCCCTCCGTGTGGCCCCAGGGTGCAGGGGGGTGGCAACAGGTTCTGGGACAGTAGATCCCGGGAGGCAGGGGATGCTCGTGGGGGGGCAGCAGACCTCTGGGAGGGGGATTGGAATGGACAGATTTGGGGGGGAGGGTGTGCAGCAGCTACCCCGAGGGCAGCAGAACCCCGGGGAGGGTCCGGATGCCAGTGGGGCCGATCCTTTAGGAATTTGTCGCCCCTGGGTGAGAGGCGGGACATCCTCAGCAGGGTGGTATCCCCCGGGGGGGTCAGATCTCCCAGAAGGCAGCAGATGCCGGGGTATGGGGGGGAAAGGACCAGATGCCCGTCGGGCGGAGCAGACCCCGGGGGTGAGACCCTGACCCCGGAGGGAGCGGGTGACTGGGGACCTGGTCCCGCGGGATGTGGGGGGGGGGCAGTCCCC